AAAAAAAAAAAAAAAAAAAAAGAACTTAAGCGAATATGTCTTGATGTCTTATAGTAGTTTTGTTTTACTGACAAGGTCTCAGTAGATAGTTCAGGCTGGCCCTGAACTCACTGTGTAACCCAGGCTAGTCTTGAACTTGTGATTTCCTGCCTCAGGCTTCCAAATGCTGATGATTACAGGTCTGCACCACTGTTGGTTGTTTAGTGCCCCCCCCCTTTCTCAGACAGGGTCTGGCTCACTGCATTGCCCAGCTTGGACTCTAATGCCTCAGCTCAGGTTCGCTCTGCCTCAGCCTCCAGCAGCGTATCTGTAACTACAGGCACTCCCCACTGTGCCTGGCTTGTAGTGGCATATTTTGATTACCTTTCATCCATATTTTATCATTTTCTTTGTTGCTACCACAGGAATTGCATAATTTAAAAATTATAGAATTCTAAATTTACACCAACTTCAACTGCATACAAAAACTACTCTATATAGCTCCATCTCCCCTAGCTTTGTAAGTGTATGTCATAGTATGTGACATTTATAGTATGTGATTGATACATTTATAATTAGTTTTTCTGCATTAATTTAATCACAATTTATAAACCAGAGGTGACAGTCTGGGTTTTCTCATTTGCCCAAGTGTCCATCTACAGTGGAGAGCTTGCTGTGTTCATCCAGTGGCTTCTGCTTATCTTTCCCCATCCATGCTCCATCTGACTTTTGAGGGGGTACCGGGGATTGAACTTGGGACCTTCAGCTTTTGAAGCAGGCAGTAAGTAGCACCACTGAGCTAAATCCCCAGGCCTCCATCTGACATTTCTGCTAAGACAGCTCTACCTATAATCAGAAAAACCAATTTCTCCAGTTTTGTTGCCCAGGAACATCCCTGACCCCCCCTTTTTCCCCAGTGGAGGGGCTTGCTGGAGATTGAGTCTACGACCTTGAGCATTTATTTTGGAGTTTTAATGTCCCCTTTTTTGATTTTTTGGGACAGACAGGATCTCGGTTGGCCTTGAACTCATTATGTAACCCACATTGGCCTCCAACTCAACAGAGCTCCTCCTGCTGAGGGCTGGGATCATAGGCCTGAACCGCCATGCCCAGTCTGCTAGTTCTGATGTCTTGTAGCTCACTCTTAAAGAGACTCCCTTGAGTTAAACATAAAGGTTAAAATAAAGGGATGGAAAAAACATGCTAAAAGAAGTGGGGTAGCTATACTAATATCAAAGAAAGACCGGGCGTGGTGGTGCATGCCTGTAATCCCTGCAGTTGGGATGCTGAAGCAGGAGGATTACCATGAGTTTGAGGCCCATCTGGCCTACACAGCTCAAGGCCAGTCTGAACTACATAGGGAGACCCTGCCTCAAAAACAAAAAAACAATGTAAAGTCAGGAACCACTTACAAGAGTCAAAAAAGGACACTGTTTGTAAGATTCAGTTCACCAGTCTATCAGTTCACCAGTCTAACAGCTACATGAACAGAGCTCCAAAATATATGAGCGTGCTCTTCTCCACTGAGCTACATAGCCTCCTCATTCCTAAAGAACATTTTCCAGGATATAGAATTTTCCATTGGATTGCCATGTTTTTTCCTCCTTTGAACAAATTCTTTTTGTTTCTTTGCATCCTTGTGGTTTTATTGAAAACTGGTCTTGCAGAAACAACTCTGTCAATCTCTGCATGCTGGGTGTACGCTGCAAGATTGCCATGAGCCCTTCTGGGCCCACTCTTGCATGTGGTGGCCTTTGTCTTAATGTCCCAGCCTTACTCCACGTCTCCTGGGCCTCACTGTCTGGTATGTCTCTGCCAAGAGTTAAAGTCAGGCAAAGCCCTGTGTTTGAGTTGGCCCAGACAGACTGGCACCTGAGGGCCTGTGTGCCTTTGCAGGGTAGGTACAGAGCACAGGACTGGTCCTTCCAGCTTCAAGGTAGAGTGCTGCTTTGGTTCACCAACTTCATTTGTTCTACAATTCTGCAAGATGGCCACATTATGTTTGTGTGGGAAAGATGGCTATGGCCGTGTCTGTCACCCCTTGCAGTTTGCAAATACAAACAACATTTTGCCAAATGCTTCTGTTTCTGAAACAAACTGCAAACAAAAGCACCTGTGAACTGAGGTACCCACTGTAGCTTGCTGACTGGAAACTTTGGCCTGTGTCTCAGCTCCCTCAAGCTCAGTTCCAGTAGTGTCTGGTGATCCCTTGAGTCCTGGGGAAATGAGGTTGGCACTGCCTGGTCAGGTTTTCCCACCCATCTTGGCTTCTTTGTAACCAGCCCTGGCTTTATGGGGCATGGGATTTCTGCCTGGCATAGCCCCACTGTGCAGGGGACTAACCTGGGCACTTTGCTGTCCTCTCCCAGGGCCAGCACATCTCTTCAGACTCTCTGGCAAGTGCTTCAGCCTGGTGGAGTCCACGTGAGTGTGGGTGGGGCGGGCAGCAGGTAGGGTGTGGGGCCCACCTGACAGCCCTGTGCCCCCAGGTACAAGTATGAGTTCTGCCCATTCCACAACGTGACGCAGCACGAGCAGACCTTTCGCTGGAACGCCTACAGTGGGGTCCTCGGGTGAGTGTGGGCAGGCCCTCGGGTGGCAGGGTGGCCCATTCTCTAGTTCAGCTTTACGTCTTGTTGCCTCCCCAGCATCTGGCATGAGTGGGAGATTACCAACAACACCTTCACGGGTATGTGGATGAGGGATGGCGACTCCTGCCGTGCCCGAAGCCGACAGAGCAAGGTGAGGCCTGGGCCTGGGGCTAGGGCCAGGCCTAGGCTTTACCCACCACCCACCACCCACCATGCTGCCTCCCCAGGTAGAACTTACCTGTGGGAAGAACCACCGACTGGCCCACGTGTCTGAGCCAAGCACCTGTGTCTATGCACTGACCTTTGAGACTCCCCTTGTCTGCCACCCCCACTCTTTGTTAGGTAAGACTGGGGATTGGGGACTCTGCTGCCAAGGGCTCTGCTGAGTCTGGCTCCCTGTGGACTCTTTAGTGTACCCAACCCTGCCGGAGGCCCTACAGCAGCGGTGGGATCAAGTAGAGCAGGACCTAGTCGATGAGCTTATCACCCCCCAGGTGAGTGTGGGCGGGCTGCACACCTAGCCTATGCCCTCTCCTTCACAACCCTCGTGTCCTCTCAACTTCCTCCACCCTCAGGGCTATGAGAAGTTGCTGAGGGAGCTTTTTGAAGATGCTGGCTATTTAAAGGCCCCGGAAGAAAATGAACCCACCCAGCAGGAAGGAACAACTAGGGGTCTGGGGACTGACACTCTGGAAAACTGTAACAAAGTGAGTACAGGGGTCCCTGGTCATGAACTCTCCACTCCCTCCAACGGCCTGACCCGTCACCGGCACTCCTGCTCTAGGCACGTTCAGAGCTGTCCGAGGAGATACAGAGGCTCACCGGTCTGCTGAACCAGCATGGCATCCCCCATGGGAGGCCCACAGGTGGGTTGGCAAGGCCTGGGTGGGACCTGCAACCCCAGAGACCAGGACCTGACCTGCTGCCTGCTGTCTTGGCAGAAACCTCCCGCTCTGAGCACTTAGCCCAGCAGTTCCCCACAGATGCAACTTCAGAGCAGCTTCGAGGGGACCCAGGACTGCGCAGAAACATCTTGTGACTGGGAGTGGACAGGAGGTGAAGAACATCTGCCCAGACTCACATGCGTCCAGTGGCAGGAGGGCAGCAAGCAGCTAAGACAGCCTTGGGCTGAGAACACTACTCCTGCTGGACCTGCTGGGCCAGGTGAGGACATGGAGGGACTCTCTGGCCTGATGTTGTTGTACTCAGAGACATAGAGAAATAAAGATTCAAAGTTTTAATTAATTCCCATACTGATAAAAAATAATTCCATGAATTTTGTAAACCATTGCATAAATGCTATAGTGTAAAAAAATTAAAACAAGTGTTAACAATTTTAAACAGCTCACTACAAATAAATGATTATGCATTATAAATATGACCTTCTGGCTTAAGAAAATCCCATTCACATAACATTCTGATCTAAGTGCTCAAAATAAAAACACATGGGGCTTCCATAAATTAATCCACATGAAGTGTCCTTACTGGGAGCATAAATGTGGCAACACTACCATTTACTAATATTCCACACCAGAGTCAAAAGACAACAGCAGAAAGAACGGCATTGCTGGTTACCCCACAGCTTCAGCTCCCACACCGAGACCCCACCTCCATCGCCTCCATCTGAAGTGAGAGCCTGCCCATCCCCAGCTGGGCTCCTGGGTCATGCAGGATGGATCCCAGAGGTCACAGGCAGGGTGGGGAAGGACCCACAGTGAGCAGCCCCCATGGTCCTGCCACACCATTGGCTCACACCTGGGTAGTTCTTTGGTCTCCCCAGCACACCTGTCCTCAGGCTGTCCTGATCCCAGGACAGTGCATGCTCAGAGCTCGGCACCTCACTGTGGGACCCAGTTGCCAGCTCCCAGCCATTGCTCCCACCCTAGAACGTTAGCCCTAGAGAGAAGCTCCAGAGCACTGGCCGTATTCCACAGGAAAAACTGACCAGAGTAGCTTATAGACAGATCTAAAGCTTAATGGTTCTTATTTATTTATAATTTGAAAATGTCTAGGCTACATACCGATAATAAAACATTGTCCCATTATCCCAAAGACCAAAGGCCTGAAATGGGAAACAAGTGCATAAATATTAATAAAAATAAACAATCTTAAACAGTGATAACAGTAGCACAAAATATACGTAATTTCTAGGTACTGAGCTAATCATCACTATAATTAAAAACAAATTCACTAAAACCAAGTCAACAGTTAACCATTAGTAGCGTACTAGCTGCGGAATGTCATTGATCCACTGCCTTTAAAATGATAGAACTTTTCTATCAGTTTGTCTTATATTAAAAAATGCTCTTAAATCTATATTAAATACATTCTAATTTGGTCACTGATAAAAATGGTTACCTAATCACTTTGCACTTTTAAAAAAATGCTATTAAAAGTCTTTGGCAAAGCCACAGGGGAGGAGAGACAAGGTGGCCCTTCCAGCCAGGGGCAAAGCCCACCCCCTCCAGCCGCTTGCCAGCTGAGGGCAAGGTCTCCACGGACAACACATAGCTCTTCCTTCTCCCCAGATTTCCGAGGACTGTCCCAGTCCTGACCAGAGAGGACTCCTAGCACGCTGGGTACATTCTCAGCAACATTCCTGTCACAAGTCTGAGGCCAGCCACGAGGGACCTGCAGCCACCCAGGAACTGATGGACAGAGGAGGGTGCTGCACAACCAGGGTCCCAGGCCATGGAGGCACCTCACTGGTCACAAGGGATGCACAGGTCAGGCGAGGGTGTGGCTAACACTGTCACCCAGGGCTCCACAGGCTGCTGTGGCACCTCTAGAGGCAGAAGGTGCAGGCAGTGACAGATGCAGGAGAGAGAAAAGCTCCCAGTTCACAGCCCACATACTCAGCACAGCCAGGATGCCCAGACATCTCTGAAGTTACAAAGCACCATTGCCTATGACAGATCTAAGTTGTCAAAAACGGTTTCTTCCAAAGTGAACTTCAAAATCCGTTAGTACCTGGTCCCTTAACATTGCATTTTTCATTAGCATCAAATTCTCTTCTACAGTTTCAAGTGAAAAAACAACAAAATGGATAATTTCCTTCACTTTTGCAAGGCATAGGCACTTAGAAAAAGTGGCCACGGATCACTACAGGGTAGAGTTCTTGGTATCATCTCACAATACTAGAATAGAAAACTCCAATGACATTTGCACATTCTCATGTTTAGGAAAATTAGTTCCTCATAAAATTCAAAACAACTAAATGTATCTTTTAATAATCACTCTGCTTATAAATACTATTTGTTTGCACTTGATTTGAAAATGTAAAAATGCTACGTATTCCTCACTAGATAAACGCTCATTTCTTAAGTAGTTTCAGAATATGAAATCTATCTGCCAGACTATGCATCAACAGTAAACGAATAGGAAACTTCAAGTTCACAGCACACATATAAAGCTTCATGTTATCGCATATTAAAAAACACAGACCTAGAAAGCAGCTTATACAATTCATAACATCTAAATCCCTTGGTTGACAAAGTGCTTTGATGAGACCCCGCCCCCTGGTGGCCTGGCCACCGCAGCATCGGGACCTTGGCCCCAACCACACTCTACCTGCCCAGCCCCTGGAGGCATACAGCCCCTCGGGGATGGGCAGGTGGCTTCTTGGTGGTGTTAAGGTTTTTGAGAATACCTTGAAACCACTGGTGGACCACAGTAGGTAAGAAAAATACAAAAGGCTGTCAGGTGAACAGGGCGTGAACTCACGTCCTGACGTGGTGGCACCAGGAATGACACACTGCTGTGGAAGGCGAGGGCTGGCTCTGGTCACCATGGGAGCGGCTGGCCCTTGCAGTAGGGGCACTCGGGTACACTGGCTGCACATGGCTCACACAGGACACGGTGCTGGCAGGGCTGCAGGGCAGGGTCACAGGTCCGCTCCCGGCAGGCCACACATTGCTTGGCACGGAGCTGGAAGATCACCTGTGGAGAAGATGCTATTGATGCAACTAAGCAGACACCCAGGCCTTCCCAGCAGGCAGAGGACAGCATCCTAGAATGATGGGCCACCAGCCTCAGTGGCAGGGTCAGGAAGACTCCTGCAGCATTCAAAGCTGAGGTGCACACAGGGCAGCCACATAAGGGACAGTGGCTTGGTGTAGGGAGACACTTGCCCTTGAGGCCTCAGAGCAGAAAGCTATGTCCTAGGGCCAGAGTCACCTCAGCCATAGAGCAGGGGCCATCATGGACAGGACGAGAACCATGGGAGCTGGATACCTAGGACACAAGGCAGGTAGGATCCTCTAGGAGACTGCGCCTTGGAGGTAAAGCCAGAGAGGTTCACTAGCAGCTGCCCTGGTCACAACAGGACCTTTCAGGGCTCAGAATGGAAAGTGTCCAGCCACCAGCACAGTAGGTTTAGTGCTGCACCAAACTCAGGATGCTGAGAGGCACCAGTGACCCCAGAGGCCAGCTCCAAAAAGTGCCCCAAACTCAGGAAGGGCAGGGCCATTCTACACGGAAGACACAGCTACATGCTCATTAGGGCGGGCAGGGTGAGACAAGGTGCTCAGGGAGCAGAGCGCGTGGACACACTTGTAGGCTGGTATGGGAAGAGAAGGTCATACAGAGCACTCTCAACCTCTTCCCCCCACAAAGGGACAGACCCCAAGCCATACGAGGACTTACCTCATCAACAGCCTCGAGGTCCAGGCGCAGCTGGCTCTGTAGGGAGTGCAGCTTGGGGAGAGGGATAGAGCCAATGTCACTGCAGCTCCGTAGCCCAGGCAGTGAGGACAACAAGCCCAGGCCCTCGAGTTCCTCCTGCAACTGCTTTACCTGAGCCTCCACCTCCTCCTTTCTCTGCAGGGCCAGCTGCCGGTCACTGTCTGCGATACGGGCCCGCTCTTTGGCCTCTTGAGCCTCTCGCTGCCATGCATCACAGGCCTGAAACCCAGGAGATAATGCAGGAGCAGCCAGAGCCAGCCTCCCCACACACTCACCGGCCCCACCCACCTATCCCACCCATGCATCCAGGGCCCTCCCCACAAGCTCACCTGCTTCACCTGCTGCCAAGACTCTTCCCACTGCCTAATCTTCCTCTTGGCCTCATCCAACTGCCGCCTGACCCGGGCCAGCTCGGCACCATTTGGACTTGAGACCGGGGGGCCGGTGCTTAGGATGGGGGAGGGGCTGGGAGAGAAGCTGCCGGAAACAAAGTCCCAGATGCTCCCAGGGACACCATTCAAACCTGAGTGTGAGGAGTGGGTAAGATGGGGATGGCAGAAGCCACACTGTGCCCACAGCCTGCCCAGCCTGCCCCTCCCACCCACCACTCCCAGCGGTCCTGTGATTCCCTTGCCCATGATCACAGGACCCCCAACCCTCGGCCAGCTCCCACAGGCGAGGCTACAAGGTGCCAGCACAGGCCAACAGCAGTGCCACCCAGGTCTTTCCAACAGACCTCTCCCAACCACTCAGGGAATTTAAGCAATAAACAGAAAATGGACCCAAAGTCCCTTTGGCTGCACATGGAGAACAGGGCTTCTCAGGCTTTAAGTACAGATCCTAGAGGCCCCAAGCATCTGCTTCACTGGGTTTACCTGCTGCCATGCATATAACATTAGAGATCAGCACGGAGGCATCTAAAAATAAGCATTCTTTAAAAATGTAAAGCCAGGGCCGGGGATTTAGTTCAGCGGTTCAGTGGCCTGCCTTGCAAGCGCAAGGACCCAAGTTCAACCCCCGATGCCGCCCCCCACACAAAAAACATAAAAATGTAAAGCCAGGGATTTAGCTCAGTGGTTCTGCCGCCTGCTTTGCAAGTGCAAGGGCCCGAGTTCAATCCCCAGTTCCAAAAAAAAAAAAAAAAAATGTAATGTATCACATCAGATAAAAAAAAACAAACAAAAAAACAGGAGGCACTAGTGCTGTTTCTGGTCACTACTATCACTTACACACCTGCCTGGGAGCTTAGGACCAACAGCCTATATCTCCTCACAGCACCACAAAACCACCTGGGCTGTGAGGACCCCAAGGTGAGCCCTGCCTAGGCCCCTGGCAAGAAAGGAACCAGTGCCATGATGACAGGGGCCCCTATGCTGTTGGAGACCAGTTACGATACGCACAGATTAATTATGAGGGACTAAATTACAGGCACTACAGGCCCAAGGTCAGAGTCAACTTGCCTCCATAACAGAGAAGTATGACTTCCTGGCTGTGTGGAAAGAAATAAATATAGGTTCCTGAGACAAGATAACTCCTACTGAGGGCCATAAATTATGCAGACATCCCAGTGTGAAGGACTAACTTCTCCCTTTAAAATGCTAAACTTGGTCCCTATCTTGCTATCCTGATGGGATCTTACACGCGCACGCACACACACACACACACACACACACACACCCCTGTACTCCTCGGTGTGAACAATAAAAGCAGGCCCACCATGGAATTCAGTTCATGGAAGCCTATCTACTAGACAGTTTCCTCCTTCCTGGTCCCCCACTGCAAACCCAATACTGTGTCTACGTCTCTTTTATTTCCATCATTCTCCCTCTAGGTATTCAGGGGTCTGAAGAGCTCCCGATACCGAGCTGTGGTGGCACCGGCATCACAGCCTTCGCGGGCCGGTGCTCTGGACCTGCTGAGTCAGCCGTGCAACGTGGGTCTCGTGGCGGGGCCCCGATCCCGGGCCAAGGAAGCGAGGGCCCTGCGCAAGGCGAAGCCAGCACTCACCTAAGGAGCTGCAGGATGAGGCTGTGGAGCCGAGGG